CCGGAGCTGTGACAGCCGCCACCGGAGCCGTGGCATCCACCGCCTCCGGAGCTGTGACAGCCGCCACCGGAGCCGTGGCATCCACCGCCTCCGGAGCTGTGACAGCCGCCACCGGAGCCGTGGCATCCACCGCCTCCGGAGCTGTGACAGCCGCCACCGGAGCCGTGGCATCCACCGCCTCCGGAGCTGTGACAGCCGCCACCGGAGCCGTGGCATCCACCGCCTCCGGAGCTGTGACAGCCGCCACCGGAGCCGTGGCATCCACCGCCTCCGGAGCTGTGACAGCCGCCACCGGAGCCGTGGCATCCACCGCCTCCGGAGCTGTGACAGCCGCCACCGGAGCCGTGGCATCCACCGCCTCCGGAGCTGTGACAGCCGCCACCGGAGCCGTGGCATCCACCGCCTCCGGAGCTGTGACAGCCGCCACCGGAGCCGTGGCATCCACCGCCTCCGGAGCTGTGACAGCCGCCACCGGAGCCGTGGCATCCACCGCCTCCGGAGCTGTGACAGCCGCCACCGGAGCCGTGGCATCCACCGCCTCCGGAGCTGTGACAGCCGCCACCGGAGCCGTGGCATCCACCGCCTCCGGAGCTGTGACAGCCGCCACCGGAGCCGTGGCATCCACCGCCTCCGGAGCTGTGACAGCCGCCACCGGAGCCGTGGCATCCACCGCCTCCGGAGCTGTGACAGCCGCCACCGGAGCCGTGGCATCCACCGCCTCCGGAGCTGTGACAGCCGCCACCGGAGCCGTGGCATCCACCGCCTCCGGAGCTGTGACAGCCGCCACCCCCATGGCAGCCCCCGCCGCTCTGGCGGGTGTAACGCTCCTGCCTGTGGCACTGGTCCTTGTCGTGGCGGGAGCACAGCGTCGTGCTTTGGGGTGACCTGCGGGGAGAGAGGAGCTGTCAGGGGCTGCTGCCTTTCCTGCTTCTGCTCTTCCAGGGAAGAGAAATCTGCATGTACATTTATCCAGTCTTTAGCCACATTCCATAATCTTTAAACCTTGCACCAGCTTCTTATACGAACCGTGGGATTGTCCCACCAAAGCCATAGCCAGAGATGCTGGAAGCATCCAGCACAGCTGGGCATGGCTGGCTTTCCAAAGCGGAGCTGTCTTGCTCCCGGAGGGAGCACAGCAACACCCTAGAGCCTCCCTCCAAGCCCAAATCTCTCTGCTCTCTTTTGGCATCCCCCATGCTCCCTCCTCACCCCACCTCCCTGCTCACAAGTACCTGCAGAGCAACCCCCAACCTACTGCAAAGCGCGGGGCTCAGTCTGCTCCAAACCCATCTACCTCCCAGAGAGTTTTGGATGCTGCGCCAAGCCCCAAACCCCCTTGGCATCGCCGCTCTTACCCGAGATGCTCGTGCAGCGAAGGGATGAGGAGGGAATGAGGCTTTCCAGGACAGGAATGCTTTTATACCCTCCCTGCGCACCCCATCTGGAAGAGAATCACCTCCCCATTGCCTGTTCATTTGATTTGTCGATGGCTTTTTTTTTTTTCCCCCTCGCCTCTCCAATCTTTGGGTTGCTTGCGTGACTCATCCGTGCCGGATATCGCCTCTTGTTATCGGTCGTCTTTCCTGTGCCGCAGAAATATTTAATTGCCAGCTCTACCTGTCCTTAGCTGCAATGGGGGACCGGTGTGGGTGGCCCTGGTTTCCACAGCTTTGCCCATTTATTTTTGGTGTCGGTCACAGCTGGGGAATAACGTCATCTACCTAAATCACACCAACCTTTTAAGAGGTCTTGGGGTGCCCTCATCCTGCAAATGCCTGTAAACCCAGGGATGTGCCTACAAGCGCCAATAATGCCTTTGGCATGGTAGACAACTCTTCCTTAGCAGCAATTTGACTGGTACTGCTGTTGGCTCGTTTCTCTTAGGACCAGCTGAAATACGGTGAAGAGAGAGAAAAGACAGCCTCTATAAAACTTTTTTCATAGAATCATAGAATATTTTGGTTTGGAAGGGACCCCTAGAGGTCATCTAGCCCAACCCCCGTCAAAAGTTTCCTGTTCTTGTGGGAAGGACCAAAAGCAGTTGGGATTCTTATTTTTGGAAGGGGGAAGACCTGCCCTATGTAGCGATCCAGGATTATCAAGGTACATAATTATGTGGTTAACTTTCAGCCCATGAGTAATGCTGGAATGGCAGCACCGGTGGTTTTTTCCCAGGTTGTGAGTGGCTTCGGTGCTGCCACATGGAGGAGAAGGGCTCTCATGGGTGCTGCCCTCGGTGACGCACAGTGGCCTGGGGTGGCTGCCGCGTTGAGGGGAGCTGACAGACCCCGGGGACTTTCTCCAAACTTGTAGGAACATCCTGTTTGGAGCACTTTTCCCTGCTCCCAAATGAGCTCATAATTGGCCAACAAATCTGAAGAGTATTCAGGGGGATGCACAGACCCACACGAGCCTTCAGGCCAGGCTGGGTACCACGTTTGCCGCAGGAGCTGATTGCAAGCCGTAATTGGGAATACTCCCTGTACCTTTCCTGTACCTCTGCTGTGTGGGCTAGGCAGTGCTCAGGACCATGGATCTCATTTTGCCTTTTTCTGCCACTATTTGTGTAAGACATTTCAGTAATTAAACAGGCAGCAAATAGAAAAGAATAGAATCAAATAGAATAGAAGAGAATAGAATCTAATAGAATCAAATTAAATCAAATCAAATCAAATCAAATCAAATCAAATCAAATCGAATTGTTTAGGTTGGAAAAGCCCTTTGAGATCATAAAGTCCAACCGTCCCCCTAACCCTGCCATCCCACCACTAAACGCCGTCCCTAAGCAAATAAAAGACTGAAACCAGAATTGCTGGCTGAAAATAGGGAACTGTTATGATTTTGTCAGTGCAAAAAGGCTTGCAAAACACCGGCTGAAAAATATTTCACTTCCCGCAGAGGTGCCCGAGCATTTGGTATTTTTTTGTCTACCTCTCCTACCTTCTAGCTTTCTTTCTCCATGCTGATTACGTTTTTATGCTCTTCCCAGATGCTGATCATGGTGAGATGGAGGCTTAGCCCCATCCTGCCTTTCCTAATGCTGTTTGAGGGACCCGACATCCTTTGGAAAGAGGATGGAAAACTAAACAGGCACCAAGGTGCCTCTCCAGCCTCTTGTGAGCTCCTGCTCTGAACGCAGGTGCCCAAACCTTCGCTAAGGCGCTGCAAGGCCCGAGTGGTTCCTGCAACCCAAAAAACTTCCGACACATTCGCTGTTACTGAAACGCAGAGGGGTTTTGGGAAGGTGGGTGAACAGGGCAGGGTTAATCTATCAGGTACGCAACCTAAATGCTTCTTTTGTATTGCTTAATTGCTGTTACGAGTTCGAACAGTGTCAGGGCAAAGTGTACCCAGGTTCGATCACTTCTGTTTAATTGCATTTTGTTCTGGCATCAGAAGAAATATCGTCAATATGCTCGGTGAAAAAAAAAGACTCGGAGTAATTTTTGGCTCTCAACATCATGCTGTGTTCAGTTCCTCATGTTTTAATTGCTCTGGGTTTGTTAAAGATCAGCAGCCCCCACCCCTGGGCACCTCTAGATTTTGTACCCGCCCACCTTAACGTGCCTTGAAAATGGGGTTTGCAAAGGGGGCTTAAGGCAAATGCCAGGCTCGCACAACCAGCCTCTTCAAAGGATTCCTGCAGTGAAAGCAGGCAGCCTGTCATAGAATCGTTTGGGTTGGAAAAGCCCTTTCAGCTCCCCCAGCCCAACCGCTCCCCTACCCCTGCCATCCCACCC